GTAAATTTTTAAATTGCACTGAAAAAAAACCCAGGATTACTAGTATTTATAACAATTATATCACTTTCACATTTCCTCATGGCCTCCTGTTAAACAACAACTGCTCTACAGATAGTGCTCCACAGACCTGGAATAAACATCAGCTCAAAACTGGATTCTGAAATAAATGAATAACTGATGGATAACTTTAATCACGAACATGTGTTTTGATTTTCATTACATTACATTACATGACTTGACATCTTGAACTCTTTCTCTCTTTATAATGTTTCTATCTTATATTTTGTATTACTTTATATTACTTATATTTAACTCAGCGACACAAGCAGTGTCTCATCTTGAACCCAAATCCTGACAGTAAGCAAGTTGGACCTCACCAGATCCTTTGCATTGAGAGAGACCTCGTCCCACCAGGGGGAGACAAACTCATAGTCACAGTTGAGAATACGGCTGTACATGTACTGGTCTCCTCTCGGATCGAAAAACGGTTCGAACCCACACAGCCTGGGGGGGTAGAGGAGAAAAAATGGCAGATTTAGTGTGAATGTCACTTTACGCCAAAGGCTGCACTGCAGGTGGATATGATGTAATGTGTTTATTCACAGAGCTTGTTTGGTTGTTTACTCACAGTATATACAGGATCACTCCCACGGACCACATGTCTACCTCTGGGCCATAAGCGTTGCCTCTGAGAATTTCAGGAGCTGATGGAAGATGAGAGGATAAACAGGAAATACACCTACTGCCCAATCTGTTTTCTAACAGTGTGTGTTATTTTGAATGACTGATACATTTTAGAGTTTTTATTCTTTATGTAAAACATAAAAAATCAGGAAAAACAATTAGCAATGAGCAGCTGCACATGAGAACCAGTATACTATCAAGTAAACACACAGAAACAAAATCTTGTATTGACATAATAATAATTTTTATAAATGCAACTGAAACAACCATAGCACATATGAAATATTTTATGTCAGTTCAGAATGCTTTTTCTAGGGTGGTTAACATAAGCATATGGTTCAGATGATTATATATAGGTTAAATAACAATATTTTTCAATTTAATTACACCTTGAGTATACTCCTGAAAGGTCAAGGAAGTCATCATTACTATTTCTTCATATTTAACCTCACCACATGTTAAATGAATGTGGCTCTTACTATGTTTAATCACATTTTATTGGCTACCAGCTTCTATGGTGGAGAGACAGGATTAACCAATCAGGATTTCCCATTTTGTGTTTGAAAGCTACTAGACAGCTAGCTACTCCCTGAGCATAGGGATATCATCTGCTCCTATTTCTAGTGAATCATTTTAACACTTTTTTCAGTGGAACAGCCATAAAGGTATTTTATGGCAAAATGATCAATATGGAAAGATTGTTTGATGATAGAACAAGCCATAATGATTAAATAACGAATTGTGAATACCACCATCACTCCTACTACTGTCTGGCACCCAACCAAAACACAAGAGTGTGTTACACTTATCAATTTAAATGTACAGATCACATGGCACTTTTATTTAATATATTTCCACACCCACCTCCTGAAATTAATTCCTGGCTATGCCACTGGTCCTAATATTGATGCATTTTTCATTTTATTTCATGTTCTTTTGATTTTCAAGCTACTCTTGTGTGATCACAGGAACTCACCGCAGTAACCAGGAGTGCCACACACCGTCTTCATCGTCACTTGCTCATCTATTATCTTGGAGAGACCAAAGTCGGCTGTGGACAAGTTGCAGATAACATGCCAGCGATAAAGCATCTTCTAATACATTGTGTTAAATTACCAGTGCACCCATTTCTATTTACTGTTCAATGTACAGGTGCGGTACCATGTTAGTTAATATTATCCTTTTCTGAAAAACATACGAAAACAGATTAGGATTTGTATTTGGTTACCTATCTTGAGAGGAGCATCTATTGACAGATCAGCATATAACAGGTTTTCAGGTTTGAGGTCCCTGTGAACGACCCCATTTTCATGCAAGTACTGCGATGAAAAAAAGAAAGAAAGAAAGAATGAAAGTTGCACCTTCAATACTACACTGAAATAGAATTTTGATCACATTTCAAACAATCACTCAAGCAAACGCTGCCACTGATGTACTGTACAGTTAGAACATTGTAAGCCAGTTTAACCAGGGTTAAGTACAATTTGATAATGTATGTGTGTATGGTGGATGCACCATGAACGGATTAAAAATGTGTAAATTTTTGATATGAGGTTTTCTATGAGGAGACATTTATTTAGCATTTTTGGAAGGAGTCTCCAATGTCAGCGCTTTGTAATTGTCAGAGGTAAAGCCATAACTATAAGTTTTCCAACATTAGAAAATCTTCAAGATGGAGGGCTTTTGGTTTCTCATGTAACATGACCAGCTGCATTTTTGGTCTTATTTACTGCACTGATGTATTCTTTACAGCACACAGACTACACAGAGTACTGACTCATTACAGTACTGCACTGTCCCTGAAACTTCATTCCTCTCAGGTTGCTATCACAACCATTACTGCACTGTCACTTTAGACTTTATTGTAAATTTTGCTCTAGTCGCAGCTGTGGACCTTATAGTTACTTCACTGTCTTATTATCATGTTGAATGTTCTTTGTGATTGGAGTATTTATTGGATTGGAGTGTTTCACATACCCCCCTCCCTGCACGCTTCTTATTCCTGTTAAACTTTATTTATTTCCTGTCAGCACTGTGTATGTCATACATGTATCTTGCACCTTGGGTCCAGGAGAAACGTTATTTCATCTCACTGTGTACTGCACACTGTATATGGCTATGATGAAAATAAAGAGCTACTTGACATGTCTTGACTTGACTTATTAATCTATTTACAGAAAGAGAAGCTGGTGGTTTAGCAGATGTTCTACAACATTAAACACAACTATAAATGGATAAAAAATGTGATGTTCTTTAATAAATAAAAAAGCAAATTGCTATGATATAAGGGGAAAAAACCCACTTCGTGTTTGCGTTGTTATTGGAAGAATATCTGCTACAGTCACATCATACCACTCCGGCTTCAGAGTTTTATCCCTTTTTAAGGAATTTATTTGACCTTCCATTTATAACAAAGCATTAAATATGATTACAGAGAGCAAATAAAGATGAATTGCATAAGCCAACTATATGAACAGTTTGTAATTGGAAAGGTTAGAGCTAGTTGCAGGTATAATGGGGAGATTTTCTTACAGTTTTACTCATTGAAACCCAACAGAAGTTGTCATTATAAGTCCTGCAAATTGTTCACAAGAACAAGTTGCAGCATCTCAGCCTGCAATAATAATAAATAGCAAATGTGTGGTATCAGTGGCAGACTAATGAGCACCATTGTGGAATGATCCTTCATTATTTTGGTAGGTCTGAATCCTTGAATAGACTGAGAGCACAGTGAGAGCAGGGAGAATTCTAGTGGAACCTATGGGATTTAACTTAATCAGGCCACGGGCTGGCCAGATTAATTGAAATGGAAAATGCCTGCCATCATCTGAAAGAGCTGCAGCAGATGGGCTTTTTTCCCTTCACATTTTAGGCCACGCTGAACTGCTCTGAATTTGAGCTTTCTGTATAATTTGGCAGAGTTGCACTAATCGGTGATTTGCTGTTTCAATTTCACTCATTAGTTGCTTAATGCTTATTACACGGCACACTGACAGAGCGCGCTCGAGCGTGAGCGTATCTGCGTGTATAATCTAGCAGACAGCCCTGGCCCATTGATGTCCGGATTAAGGTTGAGCTGAAACCTGGGAGCTTGTTAACGCAGCGGTGGAGGCGTCGCACTCGGCACTGCACCTTCACATCTGCCTACAAATCCTGAGATTCACAGGGCCAATATTTGTTGCACTCCACACAGATCCAGAGCACCTCCATTACTGTTGGAAAGGATGATGGATGTGCCTTTACCAGTCCTTTAGAACCATTCCTCTTCCTGCTAGTTTTCCTAACATTCTGGCTGCATATAAATCCAAGTAATGACGCTTGGGTGTCTCGGAGCCTCAAGCTAAAGTGCTGGTATGAATCATGCCATGCCAAGAACTGTGTTAATTAAGTTGGTGTGCGAAGGCAAAGAACAGATGTCATTTTTTTTAACAGTCCTAAAATACTGACGGAAATAACGCTAGGAGAAGAAAAACAATGTGGTTTTGCTTTCCATACGTCTCAATCATGTCACACAATTCAGCAACCTAAATCTGACACCTGTCACTCTTATGTCAGTATGTAACAACGTACAGTATAAAAACACTGATAATAGCTCGGATGGAAGTTTCAGAAAATGACAGGGTGTTAATTTGACATGCTAGAGGATCATCATGCTTTCATAGCACCCTGAGTGAGAAGGTTAAAAATGAGTCAGTGAGATACAACACTTGGTGTTCTTGATAAATGCAGAAAAAAATCAATCTACTTCATGGAGTGTATGTGTCATTTATCAAAGCTCTTACATTCTCTTACAATCTACAATCTAATCTTACAATCTTACATTCTCTTACAATCTGCTTTTGCTGATTTTACATATACTATATATATATATATATATATAT